CGCGTACCGTTTTAGCCAGTTTATCAGTTACGGAGTAGGAGAATATTTTAAAATCTTCAAAACTCCTTCAATCACGAGACCTTTTCTCCTTAGCTACCCCACTCCACTCCACTAACACTATAATCCAACCCTTCCTATATAATACTCCCACCTTTATTCCATTTTCTCCACCACATATTCATCATCAAACATCATCACCAATCATCCATCCATCATCTCTCCTCTTCACCTCTCTCTCTCTGTCCGTCAGGCACCAAGGAAAGAAAAAGGAGATTCCAACTCCATGATTTCATGTTAAGGAAGAAGAAGGAGCAAGAAGAAAGTAGCTAAAGTTTCTAAAATCCTGAGTTCAAACACAGCAGCCCACTTCTAGGTAAAAACTGAAATTTTCCATCCATTATCTCGAAATACTTTCTCAACCAAAGTTGTAGCCCTGGACGATACGAATCCAACCCAACAAACGGCTCGTGATTTCGTTAAGTAACGAAGAAGATATGGCCAAAATACCGGGACTGCGTCAGTGGTGGCGAGCTCCTCGGGTTGGCATGTTTTTCTTCACCAAAATTCACATTATTTTATCCCAAATACTTACCATAAACTCTCTAACAATTATTAGGAACATCCGGAAGGTATTGCAAAGAAAGTTCGGCGTTGGAATGTTGAAGTTAGTGAGTTAATCGTCGGAATCATGTTCATCGACATACCCGAAATTCTGGACAGCAACTTTCTATTGACTTCAGGTCTGATTTACGCTATCTTACATATGTTAAAACGAAATACTTTCTATACGAAAGTTGTAGCCTTACATCTTAGGAATCCACAGAATCAAACGCTTTGCAATTTCGTGAAGAAACGATGGAGATATGCCCAAATTACCACAGGTTGTCCAGTTGTGACGGAAATGACAAAGTTGGCAAATTTCGATGTTGTTTCCACTTCCGCTCATCCGTAAGGTTTCGGCCGATGATTTCCAGGTCTGTACCTTTGCGTTAGACTTGTCGAATCATTCATCACATACATACATGAACATATAAGTTATTCCATATGTTAAAACCATTCCAAAATATATATGTGATACATATATAAGTTATCTATATGTTGAGATCAAAGTACACCAAATCCATAAAGTTAATATACACATAAGTAAATATAAACTTGGAAATCAACCCAACAATATGTATATGTTAATCAAAGGTGCTTAAAAGACTTAAAGAAGTATTTTGGACACTCAAAATATCAAGAGAAAGATTCACAGACCCAAACAGTTGACGCAAACGGTCGACCGACGCATTAAACATCGAAATGGACCCCGACTGTCAGACAAACGGTCGACCGCCGGTGGCCAACGGTCGATCGTCGCCTGCCCAGCCGAGAATCGCCGTCGCCATCCAGTCAACAACGGTCGACCGCCGGTCGACCACGGTCGACCGTCACGGTGTTCCGCCAGCCCGACGTAATGAAGGTCGAGGTCGACCGTCGCGCCAAGCAATCGACTGTTCCGAGCCTCGTAGCTTAATTAAATGATATTTTAATCATGTTTCATCCAAATAAACTAATGCATGATTATATATTCATATTGTTTATAAATTGTTCATGCCATAGCATTCATTTCATCACACATATTGTAGCATATCATATCATATGCATGCGTAAGAGATCATGCGTAATTGCGTCTCTTATAGCGTGATGTGCGAGACTTACTAGTCCGACATCACCCGTTCTGGGCTTAGTGTACGTACATGGTATTCAGGTTTCGAGTACCACCCCTATCTTTCTAGTCTCACCTCATTCGTGAGACTAAGGCCGCGTGAGTTCGTCGTACAAAATGGGCGAATCTCATAGCGCAAGGGTGTCCTTGCTCGTTAGAATCATGCATCATGTTATCATCATTAAGTACATTGATTACATAGGTGTCATGTAATCATCATCAAGAACAATCAAATTGATTAAATGTGAAATCATGTTATCATCATCAAGTACATTGATTACATAGGTGTCATGTAATCATCATCAAGAACAATCAAATTGATAAAATGTGAAATCATGTTATCATCATCAAGTACATTGATTACATAGGTGTCATGTAATCATCATCAAGAACAATTATATTGATTACATAGGTGTCATGTAATCATCATCAAAAATAATTATATTGATTATATATGCCATCAGGTAATTATCATTAAATATTTATCATCATGATTCATCAAATTGACCATATGATAATATGTGTCATATCATGAATGTTACTATACATTTTGTGGACGTATATATATGTATATGTCTGAGAATCATTCTACAATTCTAGCGTGGTACCACTCAGCGGTTTCGCTGAGCGTGTAGTTTGTATTTTTCGTTGACTACACGTAGGTAACAAGAAGACAATGATGGAACCACTCCCGGAGGGCATTGAGTCAGAGGAGATGCAAGGATGGCAAGCAAATGTTGATCATCAGATTTTTAAATGTGTCATGATTTGATTATTATTGTACTTCCGCATTACTCTAAAAATATTTTTTAAATGGGTCGCGATCCAGAGTCTGTAAATTTGATATTTATAAGAAATTGTCATTTTCAAATGTCAAGCGAAATTTTTAATTAACTCTCGTTTCACCTTAATTCGTAAAATTCCGGGTTATACGGATTGGGGTGTTACATCTTCAATTCAGGTCTGCAATATTCCAACTTGATTGTACGGATTGGGGACTTGGTTTCTTAAGAAGTGATAACGAATATCAATATGCTTGCTTCTTCCATGAAAAACTGGATTCTTAGCCAAATTAATTGTTGAAACATTATCAACCTTAATTCTAATTGGCCCTTCAATATCAAAACCAATTTGACTCATAATATTGCTAAGCCAAATTGCTTGACACGCACTTGATGTTGCTGCTACATACTCAGCTTCACATGTGGACAGTGCAACAATGGGCTATTTCTTTGATGACCACGAGAAAACAGTCTTCCCGAGCATAAAACAATGACCACTTGTGCTTTTCCTTTTGTCTAAATCTCCACCCCAATCGTTTTCGGAGTATCCAACAATCTCAATCTCCTTAGATGATGTAGAATAGACCAAAATCTATAGTACCTTTGATGTAGCGCATAATTCTCTTTACTTTTTGTAAATGGATATGTCGAAGTGACTCCATGTATCGGCAATATTATTTTTTAGTTTAATTAGGTATATATACATATTAAGCAATATTATAAAAAGAATTTACCCTATGTAGCACTTTGAGACACCCAATATTAAATATATAGCATTCCTTATTGTTTTTCACACATTTGACTATTTATAGTGTGGATCTCTTTCAATCATATCCTTTTACACCATTGCCCCGCAATGTCATGCGAACCTTGCCGATCCTTTTATTATAATGCAATATTTTAATTATTTCATTTGGGTATGACAACAATATGTTATACATGTTTGGAATTGTATGCCCATTTCAGGAAATGTATACCAACTTAAATACTCCCTCCGTCCCAAAAAGAATTTCCTACTTTGATTAACGTGCAAAACCCCGTGAATTTTAAAATGATTTTATTTCCAAATTGGTAAGGAAATAACACATAAAAAAGTTATATTTAAAAACTACATCGAAAACTCTACAAAATAAGAGGTGACAAGAATATTTTATTTTATCAAGTGATCAATGAAAACACACAAACAAATAAGAGTTATCGAGAGGCGTAATAGTAAACAGGAAAGACTTTTTGGGACAGAGGGAATATATTTTTTGGCAGTGTAGAATCTAAGGACAATTTTGGAATTGTATCCACACGAATTCCAATATCTCATAGCAGTACTATATTGGGTATTTTAAGCATATATTAGTTCTATGGCGGTACTTCTTCATATTATAAATTGTGTAATCATTAAAGAAGTGGAGCATTGTGGTTGTGAAATGAGTGCAATCAGCGCTAATGTAACACTGAGTGACTGCTGATTGAGAGTGAAAATATTACAAGTGATTTTAATGATTGCTCCTGTGGACAAGAGGGTCATTTTTAATCATAATTGTCTATTGGTGCATTGACCTAGGTCTCGTTATTTCGCAATAAAAGTGTTTCCGTCAAGTAATGGAACTCAAAGCCTTCAGAAAGTTATCAAAATAGTACTACCTCCGTCCCATTTTATAACGCCTGTTTCGGTTTACGATGTTTGACTGAAATTATTTTCAAATCATTTTATATGACAAATGGTATAGAGTTAAAAAATAAAAATTACATATCAAAATACTACATCAAAAGATCTACAAAACTAGTAGTGACAACAATATTTTATTTTATCAAATTGCTAACGAAAATAGAGAAAGAAAGTGAATAAAGTGTGACCCTGTGAATAGTAAACAGGCATTATAATTTGGGACGGAGGGAGTACTAAAAGTAATAATTTTTCCAATGTAGCACAATATATTTTTTATATTTTCAATGTAGTACCACTCTTCAATCTTCACTAATCATTATTCAAGTAAATATCGAACATCACTAGATAATGTTCAAACTAAATGTTCACCATTACTAGACATTGTTCCCGCCACTAGACATTATTCAAGTACTATTGAGCGAATAAAAAAATTCAAGTACCACATTACAAAAAAGCATATGTTTTAATACTATTTAGTACAAATTTTACAAAACCAAAACCATATACGTAGTAAAAAAATAAGACAAATTATTTTGTGGTCTTTGGGTTCATGTTATTTAAACCTGTTAAACGTATTGACCTTGTAAAACAAAAAAGATAGAACTGCAAGCCCATAAATATATTTGAAAAGACACACATTTCACGTGTAGACTTTAAAACCATAATACCACAACTAATTATAAAAAGCCATGTTCTTCATTAAAAACCATTCTCTTACTCTATTACGGAATAAATTGGAATTATACCCTCAAAAGCTTAGAAAAAAAACTGTAATCAATTTAAGTATATCAATGACAAAAACTCACATATCTATATAACTATCACACCTCACACCTGAAGTGCTTACAACTGAACATGGTTGTACAGGTAAGAGTGACCCGGGGAAACAACCCCTTTATATATCATAGTTCAAGCACAGTTTAACAAGAAATGTCCTATGTCATCTCGTTACTCAAAAAAAAAAAAGAAAATAAAACTGTGACGACTATACATCTCTGTGTATATTTTGGGATACCCATAACTGAGAGCAACTCCCCACGTCTCAATGTCGACCCGGTCTCTTCAATGTATAAAGAATGGTGAAGTCATAAGAATACAATGTTTCAATAGTATCGTCCGGTTAGAAAGGTTCTACATTTATACGCCAGAACAGATGGACCCTGCAAACAAACATCATTCAGAGCAGCGTTTTTAAGTGTACAGGTTTTGCAGAGAAAGATGAGAGCGAGAATAGACCTGTCGACCAAGAAGAACAGCAAAACTTCTTATCATCCACATGCTTGACATCAGCGCCGATGAACCAAGACCCGACAGTGACATCATCATGCGCATATGTACGAAGGATGGATCTGTGGGTTAACAAATGTTAGCACTAGGTTGGATCCACATGGTTGGAGGAGGTAGAGAATATTACCTATTTATTGATATATGTTTAGCCAATGCTCGTGATATCACAATCATATCCCCAGAAGCATGACGGAAGTACCTGTGGGTACAAGTTGTCAATGGAAAATAACATCCAAGTTAATGTACCATTTCAGGATTTCAACTCTTCAAGTAGAGCATATGCCAGTTCAAGGAGAAATTCTAAGGTGGACTTTAGCACCTCATTCATAGACTTAGGCGATAGAAACAAATCATGCATTTGATGTATTGACATCAATGGGATCCGCTCATATCATTATTAATTGACATAAGGGACTTACTCTACCCAAGAATTTCTCCAAGTTCGTGTTTCATATTCGCTACTAATCCTAGAAAATGAATATAATGACATTTCGCAGTAACTGAACAGAAGTAAGCAGGACCGGATGAAATCAGACAACCATCCTAGACATCCCCTTTTAGTTTTAATTTTCTATCTACTAAAAAAATTAATTGAGTATAAAGAACCATATGTTCAAGAAGATGCAATAGAGACTGAATATAGTGGACAGTGGTGTCAAGATGCTTCTTACGTTTTCCCATCACCAAATTTCCACCAGTCTGGTTCATACCATTTATGTCCCCTGTGAATTTAAAGCAAAGGCAAGCCATTAATATCATCCAATAACAGGACCAAATGAAATGAATCAACCATACAGCTCTCATGATTTGATTCTGGGCAAGACTTCTGCCAACTCACTTCTCAGAAAAGACTTCCCCTGATTTCATACACCCAACATATATGCGAGGCTTGTTCACATATTCTGCAAGTGTGTTCCCTAGGGCATCTGCTCAGTAATTATAGAAAAAAGTCAATCTCTAATACTCCGTATTAAAATGCTCTGCATGTTTGCGTGTGTGCACATACACCATACTGAGTAGGGGGTTGTGCTAGGTTGACGGCTAGCATAAAATTCAATCACATCTATGAACATAAACCATAATGAGTATTTTACGTTCAATGAATGACTATGGAAGATAATCTATTGGTTCATGTAGCCGAGCTCATTGAATTGGGATTAAGGCTTGGTTGTGGTTGTTGGATGAACAATGTGAGCTTGTTTGGCAAGGTTAAAATTTGGCAGAAATTATTGAACTGAATGAAGTATCTGAAATTGTGGCTTAAATAGTTGAATTATCTGATAAAATATTTAATATTATAAGTTATGTATTTACGAATAAATTAAGAATATATAATCTGAAAATATCTTGTGCTATTTGTGTTACTTGAGCCGGGGGTCTATTGTAAACAACCTCCCTACTTTCGAGTAGGGGTAAGGTCTGCAAACACACACATCCCCAGACCTTACTCTCATGGGATTCAATTGGGTTGTTGTTGTTGTAATATCTGAAAATAAATATTAAATTGACATCGTAGAATCTGCAAGGAAATATTTAAGTTACAAAAAACGGAAGCCTGGTGCACAACGCATCCCTGTTGAGCAGGGGTCCCGGGAAGGGTCCCACCACAAGGATGTAGTGTAGGCAAACCTTGCACGTTATTACATGCTTAAAAATAATTTTAACTATTTAAATTATATGTTCTTTATAAAATTACTTTAAAATATAATATCTGAAAATGAGTGTTAAAATGTCATTTTCATTTATTTCAATAACAAAATCAGGCACTACAGTTTTATATGATATTCCGTCAGTGCAGTCAAATAAGTCCGTGCTTGGTTGAAAATCTAGATATAAGGCATATACATATAAATACATAGACACATATATGAACACTATATTCTAGGGAAAATTTTTTACAGTGACTAAACTATCAACCGAGATGCCATATAATTGCTAACCATACCAATATTTACGTAGACATCATCATTTACTTTTGCATAAAAATCAGCAATCCACCCATCAGCCGCATGAGCAAAAAATAGTTTTGCCTTTTTTGACACTTCATCAGGAGCCTCAACATGGTCTTCCTGTCAAATACAAGACTTGAACACATAAATGACACAGATATAGCGTAGTAGTGCAGCATACATAAATAGGCTCTCATTTCCACAAAAGATGTCTTAGTTCAAATCTTTTCAAGCCACTGCTTGGATTTTCATCTGAAGGAAATCGTGAGAATATTTTTTAAAAATAGGTGCTTTGAAGTATTTTTCATTTTTTGGCTACTTTATGGATTTTTAAATGTTTAATCGTAATTACACAATACTATTACAAGAAGAAATGCTTGACTAATCTAAACCTGCACAAAGTAGAAAGTAGGAACAAAGATTTAGCAATTCAGCAGTTCAAAAAAAATGAAAATTAGCCAAATGAGTGAAATGACTCACAAGAATGAAAAAATCATTGGTTTCTCTGTTCTCATCGTCGATACTTCTGTCTAAGCTGTCCCCACGTTTAGAACTGCAATCAGCATGCCATCATATTTAGATTTCAAATGTACTGACATAAAACAGAAGGAAGGACATGTTAAGCATTATAATTTATAAATAGTCAGAAAATGCACCTTCTGCCAATGACAAATCGGGCAATAACACCCATCTCATCTTCCATCCTTTTCAAGGCCGCACCTGAGCAGCACAACTATGTGATTGATATCAAACTTGTAACTTGGAAGTACTCAAAATAGAATCCTAAGAAACGAAATTAAGATCATCATGATATGTATTAAGAAATCATTAGAAATTATTTTGACCATTTTATTATTTGGTTCTTTCACTATTTGGCCGTGGGGCATGATTGGATAAAGCAAAATAGCTCTTTAAACTATTTGCACTTCTTTTAATAGTGAAGTAGCAGATAGTCAATGCAACTTTCAACACTCATCATGGGTCCTCCAGAAACAACCGCTCTATGTTTTAAACATAGGGATTAGGCTGCGCACGTGATTACCAGTGGTGCTTGAGTAGGGGTAAGGTCTGTGTACACACACCTTCCCCAGACCCTACTTTTGTGGGATTCAACTGGGTTGTTTTGTTGTTGTGGTGGAGAGAAAGTTGTTGTTTTTTGCAAAGCAGAAAGTTGAATCTTATCGTAGTTGAAAAATACATGAGAATCTCCAACTCTAGACACAAACTAAAGGGGGCCACTGAAAACACCTAAGTATCTAAAGTCTAGACAAATGCAAGGGGGAACCTTTCAAGATGTAAAAATCAGCTATCAAGACCACATAGAAAGTAGGAATCTACCTGTGGACATCCATGCCTTGCGAATAGAATCTCTATCATTTTTGCGCCCAAATCTAGTAAAAATCCCAATCACAACCAAAGGCCTTTTTTTAGTATTGGCTAACTCCTTTGGAACAAAACCCTCCTGTCGAGCAGCTGTCAGCTCTGCTTCCAAGGATGAAAGTGTCTTCATCTGTTCCCTAATGGAGAAAAATTATTATTTAACTAAATGAAAATGACTTGATCTCTATTCGGTATGCATGAATACATTAATTACTTTGGTCCAAGAAATATATGGGAAGCACAGTTGGCTTAGATCAGTATGTACAAAACACAATTTGCTCCAAGCTATATGTGGGAATCACAATTTGCTCCATGTAGTGTGTGGTCAATATGGTTTCAATGATATGCTGAATTCACTGTGAAAGAATAACTATGCTCTAGATCAAATCTATGTATCACATGCAAGTGCGAAATAATAGTGGTCAGAAATATAATTACTTTCCATCCATATACTCGTGTATCAAATGGAGACTATGAAATTTTTAAGGAAATTATAAGTTTTGCCTACCTGCACTCTATGACCTTCCAAGTGTCATCTACAGAGATTGCAGACTGTCCCTATTGATGAAGAAGAAAATACAGTCAACTTACAGCAATATAAGGGATGTACTAATACGCATATCTGTGAATGCACAAATATCAAAGGAGAATATAAAATTCAGCATAGAAATTCTATCATTGGCATAGTAGCACAAAGTTGGAGGAACATATACAGCACTTATCAAACAAGTGTAGCAAAAAAATGCTCTGTCTCTTAGAAAATTCTCCTATGTCTTAACCTTTACCATTCCAAGACTGTCTATATCGTTATTTCTTCATAAATGATAAAACATGAAGTTTATTTATTGTATATTCTTTTTCTTCACCCGATGATACATCCGTATATATGAAGGAGAAAAGCTAGCCTACATATGAAGCCAAAAGACCACTAATTACATGCAAAATTACAAAGAACCATTGAATAGTAAAGCAAATCACTAATTAAATAATAAAGAAAGAAATCAATCCAGATCCTTCTCCAAGTCTCTCTTTCCAGACTTCCATATGTAATAATAAATTCTCCAATCATAAAAAGATACATATGACGCCATCCAGTGGCTGTTCTTCATAATTTGAAGAGGATAAAAGTGAAAAATAAAGACCATTTTATAAGAAATAAAATTCCAAGAAGAGAGCAACCATGGCATTGCAAATCAGTAACAGAAATTCCACATCCCCATAAGGAATTTCATTAAAACGTTCATACCTGACCAGTTACCCGATCAAGCTCTTTTGTTAAGTAAACTCTATTTTCCGCATCTATCCATAAACTGCTCAGACAAAAATCGAGTATTAGCAACAAAAAAAATTGCAAATATACCTGACAAATTGAGTGAAGTGAGACCAACAAACAGATAAATTACTCCTTAAATACCATGAATTTATTCAAAAAAAACAGAAAAAATTGAGGGTTTCAGCCTTCGCAGATCCAGCAATTAAGCTAAAAAAATAAATACGGAAAGTATCCATTTCAATTGTATTTGATTTAAATTAACGAATAATGAGGGATTAAAACCTCAGTAGAGGAGCTTGATAAAATTGAAGCGGGTAACTCACCGGCCGGCGACGTACAAAGAAGCCATGGTGGACAACATGGCGAGCATAAGAGAAGAAATCGGCGATCGGACAGAAATGCCGGAAATCCGAGCATTCGATCCCCGGCTAAGCATTTCTTTACGAAACGGTTGGATGAAATTCGGGACGATTACGAGGCGACTCTGTCGCAGAGTCGCAGTGATCAGTCCAAGTTATTCTACCGGATTTGCTCAGGTAAAATGCAGATTTTTGGCTCGCGCCTAAACTCTTGACAGACGGCCCCAATCACACAGACCGGACCACCTTTGGGCACTGTGCTTCAAAAAATACTCATTCCTTCCAAAAAAAATGTATTGCGTAAGTAATATTCCAAACAACGGTGTGAAATACTCCCTCTCATCCAATTTATTTGAAACACTTCGAACAAAGTGAAAATTATCTTCTCTTTTAAAATTACTTTAATTTCAAATTGATAGAGTAATAAAAAGTAAAAATTACACCATTTAAAAGTATATGAAAAGCTCTACAAAACAAGATGCGATAATAATATTTTATTTTATCAAATGATCAACCAAAACAAGTAAAAAACAAAAGTTATCGAGAGGCCAAAATAGTAAACGTGACATTCTTTCTGGGACGGAGGGAGTATTATTTTTTAAAAATTGATAGAAAAATAAAAAATAAAGTTACACTATTCAAAAATAGATCAAAAGTTTTATAAAGCAAGATGCGATAAAAATATTTTATTTTATCAATGATCAACCAAAATGAAGAAACAAATAAAAGTTATTGAGAGACCGAGATAGTAACGGTTGCTTACATTTTGAGACGGAGGGAGTATCTTCAAAAAAATCTAAAATAATCCTAATTTTATCTGTTCTTTTAAAAATAATTTCATCTTTAACTAGGGTATATAATACTCCTCCCAAATCCCAACATTCCTGAAAATTATAAGTTTTTTATCACCGTTAAACTGCTAATAGCTAGTTAACGATGACTTACTTTAAGCAACAAAATGAAAGTTGAGATTTTTTTTGATAAAATTTCATTCTTAGTTTTTAATACTTTTTTGAATTTTCTCTTAAAATTTTAAAACGAATTTCTACCTAAATCATTTTTTGAAGATTAGTCTTACATCTAAAAAAAAATAAAGTCAAAGAAAATGAGAAACAATTAGAATCATACAAAATTAATGAAATAAAAAAGATAAATAAAAAAAAACGAACTTCAAACTTATACACTCATTTTTAAGCACAGTGAAGTATATATGTTGTATAATCTAATGTACCTGGCTTTAAGTACAACCTGGTAATAATACTCATTTTTATGAAACAAAATATTCATTTTGAATGCTTTTTATTTTGTTCTCTATTTGTCAAATGTTCATTTGTGTGAAGTACAATACTCATTTTCATAAAACAAACATAGTATTCATGACACTTATATGAAATGTTTATTTACGAGTAACATAATGTTCATTAAAGAAATATTCAGGGTATAAACCCACCACGAACTCCATCTTGAAGCAGACCACCACTACCTCTAATCCTCCATCCTAAAGCATATCACTAGCCCACCGTGACCTTTGTTCCCGTTTTCGATTGTCGCGTTCCATTTGTTTCCTCGTTGCCGCTCATCGTCAGAGTAATGCAACAACCCATCACCTAGGGATTTCATTGTTGATCAATTGGATCCTCTTTTCTCACAATTGAGTTCAGATGCATGGTGGTACCTAGGGTTTCGATTATCAACTTATAAGTTTGTCATGATGTATGAGATAGAAGGTACACGGATGGATTTTATAATTGCAAACTACTTGTAGAAATTGTGCGATAATAAAAAAAGTTTGTGCTAAAGCAACCCAACATTTTTAAGTTACTATAACCTCATGTTTTACACAGATACACACATACAATAATTATCTGTGCAACACTTACAGTTATCATTTATACATGTATGTGCGATACACTATCACGTCAACTCTAAAATATCGGGATTACTCTTGATATATTCATCAACCATGCTAGGGGTACACCAGAAAAATGTACCACATAGGGAGGGATTCACGGTATTTTAACAGTTCACGCTGACACAAAATGCTAGTTCAATAAAAAAAGATACACTAACATTTTGTGTCTATGTAAACCATCAGATTAGTACAAAATATTGGTACGTGCTTTCAGGGTACAAAGTGAAGTATAATTTTTGACGTACAAATAACTTAATTCTATATTCATACTAAAACCTAAAAAATTAGGAGTAATAATTGTACAAAAGGTAAGCTTTTTCATTTAACATTAGATGCCGAGTAGAATTTTTGACAACCATAAAATTTTTCTTTAAATTTACTCCGTAGAATCTGAGGTGGACAAGAGCAACGGTTGCGGCAAAGCCACACAGAGGAAGCATCGGTGGAGGAGCACGTGGGTGGGGATCGCCGCGGCCCTTTTAATTCTCCTATTCCTTCTCCCTACGGCTCTAAAGCTCTTGCCCCCGCCCAGCTGCCGCCGATCAACTGCCGCCGCCACCAAACCTTAGCGCTCGCCGATCGTGTTCCCCGCTCGCCACCGCCCTTAAACCCTCGTGTTGATGGTAATTCTTTTCCATTCAGTCTCGCGTGACTCTCTAGCTAGTTGCTACTTTACTCATAAGCTCTCCGATTTTTTTTCTCCGGATTCGCTGTCTGATTGATGTGTGGAAACGGTGAAAGCTGTTGGATTGTATCGATTTCAATTATTCCTGTGTTGTCTTTGTGCCCTGTTTTTTTTTTGTGAAACTGGAGAATTGGATGTAAAGCAATATCTTTCTTGGTGTTTCTGCTTTTTCTATGATAATAATTCGTATACAATTCATTCCTTGGAAATTCGCTTTGGCTCTTTCTATGCTCTTTTACTTGCACGGTTTCTCCACTCATAACTTTCTCCTGGGCAGTTTTCAAGCAAACTTACTAGTACATAAATCATACTCATAAACTCTCAAAACAATTCGAAATCATTTTCATACTTCATTTGATAACTTATATTTTCATAGAAGCATTAATTTTTAACCCGAAAGATGCTAGTGGAAAAAATGGAGTAAACTTTGTACAAAAGAGAATTTTGAAGAAAATAAACAAAAATTTGAAAAACTAGATTTTTTAAAATATTTCTAATGAACTTTTATTTCTTTTATGTAAGGAGTAAAAACTAAGAATTTGTTAAATTGTTACAAAGAAATATTCAATTAATCATATTTGACTTACTACCTTTTTTTAAATGCAAAGTCGAATACAAAAATGATTGCATTCATATGGACAAAAATAACCCCCAAAAATATGGTGTCTTGTTCTAATACTGCGGACTAAAAACGCCACCAACATGATAACTTAAGGATGGAAAATGGAGGCATAAAAAATTAATAGACTTATGGACTGAGTCTGCTATATCCCAATTACTTAAAGGCTACATATGCTATTTTCTATAAATATTACTCCGTAGACTATTACAAGGGTCTTGGAAGTGTTCCAACTGTTTGCACGATTTTTTTTATAGTTACTTGATCCAACTTCCAAGGTACTAAATTCATTCCTAGAGTAGCCGGTCCAGTTTCTATTCAGTTGCCCCAAACAAATGGTCAAAGGTTTTTCACTTGCGACCTTTTTTCTTTGTCTTTGAAAGTGTTGGGTTTCAGTTTTAATCAAAATGAATAGATTAACTATTAATACATTGAGCACTTTGTCCTGTCTTACATTACAATGCCGAATGTTAAATGTATTACTTTTACTTACCAGCTTTATGAAGTTATTCCTTATGTCCACCCATAACTCTCCCGAGCTGAGTAGCTTTTCTTCTACTCTCTTCTTACTGTCAGGAATGAAGATGGTTGTTATTGGTAATAGGTTTCTTATCGGTTGAGAACTCTATTCTTGATCAGTGTTTGCCTGGATAGTGAAACTGTATTTCCTTTGTTTAACTCTCTGTATATAATTATTTATATAATATATTATTTGATGGATATATATATACTCATTAACACCTTCATGATTGTCTTGGATTTTGCATTATTATGTATGTCATTGTTTAGGCTGGGTTCTGTGTTTACTTTCTTACAAGAACCCTGCAATAACTTTTTTTTTCTCTTCTTATTTTTTCTCAGGGGACTGGTTGCGAGTCTTACTTGATGCTCTCTGTCAGCTTTTGATTTGATTCAATTAATTTTTTACATCTAAGAAAAATGGATCGTTGTGACACATCGGGCTTTGTTAGCGGAGGTAGTGACTGTTCATTTCGGATTCCTTGGATGGATATGTTTTAGATCGGCTATTCTAGTTTTCATCCTAAACCATAACCCCATATAACTGGCAAGAAGTGTTTCTACAAGTGACTGACTGAGATTTCTGTTGTCTAAGTGCTGTCTGTGGTTCTGGTTCATGGAAAATAACCATTTGCATTACACTCCTTCCTTTGCCTCCAAATCTAAAAAAGTTCATAGCTTTGATGTTGGCGCTGGTAATTCTGATGTGGACCCCCTTGGGGTTCATTCTCCTTCTCTGTCAAGTCCTTACTTTGGAGTAAAGAGGAAATCTGGCACTTTTGATGGGTTCATGAAAAATGTATCACTCAGTTTGGAATTAGGCTGTTCATCAAGTTATTGCCTTCCTTCATCAAAAGGGAACGAACAAGGACAGGAGTCATCCATCTGTCTTGATCTAGGCATTGATCTTAAATGGGGCAACAATACAGATCGAAATAAAGTAAATGCATCTACACTAGATGATAAAAGGCCCAAATTGGACCTTGAACTGAACCTTTCAACCGGTCTAACCGAATCAGATACCACCACTGTCACCCAACTTGTGGATGAAGGATCAACATCTTCTAGCTGGAAATCTAGACCTCCTTTGCTAACGTTGGAGATAAACCCACCATTGCCAAAATGTTCAAATAGCACTACTTCCGGGTTTGAGGCCCCACGGAAACGTAATGCAAGCACGAGAACTTGCAATTTTGAAGGATGTGTCAGGGGTGCAAGAGGTTCTTCTGGGCTTTGCATAGCTCACGGAGGTGGCAGGAGGTGCCAGAGAGATGGCTGTCAAAAAGGAGCTGAAGGTAAGACGGTTTTCTGCAAGGCTCATGGTGGGGGTCCGCGGTGCCAATTTCTTGGATGCACCAAGAGTGCCGAGGGCCGCACAGACTTTTGCATCAACCATGGTGGTGGTCGGCGATGCAGTCATCAAGGCTGCACTAGAGCTGCAAGAGGTGGGTCTGGATTATGCATCCGGCACGGAGGCGGCAAGAGGTGCAAGGTGGACGGGTGCACAAAGAGTGCTGAGGGAATCTCCGGCCTATGCATCTCGCACGGCGGGGGCCGTCGTTGCCAATACCCATCCTGCACGAAAGGTGCTCAAGGGAGCACACAGTTCTGTAAAGCTCACGGTGGCGGTAAGAGGTGCACTTTTCCGGGGTGTACAAAGGGTGCCGAGGGGAGCACTCCGTTTTGCAAAGGGCATGGTGGTGGTAAGAGGTGCACTCATGAAGGGTGCACAAAAAGTGTGCATGGTGGCACTTCGTTTTGTGTCGGTCATGGTGGTGGGAAGAGATGTGCAGTGGCAGAATGCTCTAAGAGCGCAAGGGGCCGTACAAACTTTTGTGTTCGACATGGCGGTGGTAAAAGGTGCAAGTTTGAAGGGTGTAGTAAGAGTGCACAAGGAAGTACTGATTTCTGCAAAGCACATGGTGGAGGTAAGCGCTGCTGTTGGGGGCAGATGGGGTTTGAGGTCGGCGACAGAGCAGCTGTTGCTGCGTGTGATAAATTTGCAAGAGGGAAGTCAGGACTTTGTGCTGCCCATTGTGCCCAGATGATGGAAATAAAAATACAAGGCAGTACCCCAGTTGCCCCAGCATTTCAAGTGCCGCCACAATCCTTCACACTTGGAAGTATATATGGATTTGCTGCTGGTGGTGGCTTGGCAAGCCATCCAAATGGGTCGACTAATGATGCTACTCACGCACAAGTTACATTTGAAGCTGAAAATGTTTCAATGAACAAAATTTCACTTCCAGAAGGCCGAGTTCATGGTGGCAGCTTAATGGCGATGATTATGGGAGGTACTAGCAAAGCTAATCAAGCAGCTAATGTTCCATCAGAGCCTGGAAATGCTTCTCCTCTGCTTCATAGCTGGGTATAAGCATTATCTCTTCATGCTGTTAATTACTCATTCTGCTTGGTCTGGTTTGGTAGCTTTTTGATTTATATAGCTTTAAGTTGTTCTATAATAAAATGATTATTTTTTTTAAATATAGGACTTGGTAATAATTGTTACAGGCTCTTTAGCCAATACGATGTAGAAAGGTAAAGGTCAATTTGGTGTCATGTGTGTCATGTAAATATGCTGCTTTATATTGGTACAGTTCTTGTGGATTTGATTTCTTTCTGCATGTATGCAGATTTAATCCAATAATTTCAATCTCGTTTCCATCTTTGCCCTTTTTAGAATCGAAATGCATTAATCTCAAAACAATAGTTGTCTTTGTATTACTGCCATGTCAACATCATCATCATCTAGGCGACATTATGGAATAACTACATGTAGCATAAGATGGCTGGCTAGTGATGGTGTAGGAGCTCAACTGGTTGTGTTCCTCCCTCTTCATTGCCCTGTAAACCTGATCCAGCCCCTCTTCTATCAATTCCAGTACTGTCTGTGGCATTGGAGGCGAGTTAATGCCTACTGACCCGTCTAACATTTTCACCACTTCTCCCATTGAAGGCCTCGACCCGACCTCGTCTTGTATGCACCAAAATGCTACTTTCAGTGCTCTCACTAGTTCTTCTTCTTCCACGTTCCCTTGTAGACGTCTATCAACAACTTTCATTGGTGTTCCATTTGTCATCTCCTGGTAAGAGAATCACAATATAGTCAAATGAGAACACTTGTAGAACGTCTGTCCCTGAATAAGAAAAAGCTCATACTTTCATTGTTTCTGTCCCCATATAAATTCATCTTTCTACTGTGCTAAAAAGTTATAGGCACCTATAAGGCTCTATGTAGGGACTTGGCGCCCAATTGAAAAATAGTAGGGGTTAGAAAAAAATCGAAGTAGAACTCGTTGGGGTCTAAGTTAAAAAAAAGAAAAAAAAATACTCCCTCTATCTCAAAAAAAGCCTTGCAATTGGGTTTGGCACAAAGTTTAAGAAAAGTGAAATTGTGTGGTTGGAAGTGATGCAGAGAAGAGAGAAAGATGATGGGCCACACAAAATGTGGCAAAAATGGAAAGATGAGTCTTTTTTGGGACGTCCCAGAAAAGAAATGAGGAGTCTTTTTTAGGGACGGAGGGTAATAAGTGCACTACCTTGTATGCCCATCCTGGGAAAAAGAAGTCATCTGCATCAAACTTCATGTCAAGATTTCTACGACCGCCGATGATCTCGAGAAGAAGCATACCATAGCTATAAACATCAGCTTTCACTGTGATGGGGCGGTTGCTGATCCATTCCGGAGCTACGTACCCTCTGGTTCCTCGGACCATAGTCACAACATGGGAGTGTTCTCTGCCCATGAGTTTAGCCAGCCCGAAATCCGACACTTTTGGACAGAAGTTGTCGTCGAGGAGGATGTTTTCTGGCTTGATGTCACAGTGTATGATTCTGTTCCTACATTGTTCGTGAAAGTACGCGATGCCATGTGCTGTCTCAAGGGCTACACGAAACCGAGTTTCCCAATCTAACAGCCTATCTTTGTTACTGAATGAAGGGAAGATCCACTTATCCAGAGACCCATTTTTCATGAATTCATACACCAAAAGCCTGCCATTCCAGTAAAATAAAACTTTTTTTTTGTATTGGTCCACTTCAAGATAGAATTATGTGCATCTGGATATTAAGAAATGAAAGATTGCTCACCTTCGTGTCCCTTCGGAGCAGAATCCACAAAGGCGGACGAGGTTCATGTGATGCATGGAGCCAATGGTGGTCACCTCTGTTATGAATTCCTTCTCACCATGAGGTAAAACTTTGTCAAGCTTCTTCACTGCAATCAATGTCCCATCTCCCAGGGCTCCCCTGAACACACTTCCAAATCCACCTGACAACATAAACTACATCTTTAAGTATGTTCAGACATAATAGTAACACTTTAGTCACACTTTTAATCGTATCAACAACTAACCTCTCCATTTTTAGTTAGTTTTTCCCAGAGAAGCTTTTTCTGGCCTCTAGTCCACCTAGAAGCCCTAACGGAAGAGGACTAAAAGAACCACTTCGGGAAGAACCGGAGAACTGAAAATGGAGAGATCAGTTAAGCTTTTGATTGAGACAAGTTATTGATTATGACAGACAAGAATCATGTCTCACCTGTGCCGAGCAAATGAGAGAAGTTGTTGGTCTTGGATTGCAAGTCGCGATAAGTGAAGTTTATTGGGGCTCCTGATAGAATCATCGAGCTTTCAAGTGCTCTTTTCAGTGACCTCTTTCTATGAATGTTGATGTACAATAGGCTACACAGTAGCCCAATCAGGAGGCTCATGCTCAAAACAATGGGAAGCACCAAAGTCTTGTCGCGAGCACTCTTATTCGGTGACCCTTTTGACCTTGTCGTCGTACTGTTGAAGGAGCCGTTGCTCTCCACTTTCACAAACAGCGTCGAGCTGGGGTCCTGGAAACCCCCGAATTCCAGACTCTTGAGTAGCCAGCAGTAAGGCTTTTCCTCCCTAATCCCATTCACAGAAGCTATACACTCGCAGTCAGACAAACAAGCATTTCCGCATTTGGACAGTGTCGCATTGTCACTGTAATTCGCGATCACAGAGCTCTCGGAGAAGTAGTAACTGGTCTGCTGCATTGTCTCCATCTTGAACTGACCGCCGGTCAGGTTCTCGTGATTCCGGTCACATTTTCCGGTCAGGGAAGAATTCAGGAAGCACTGGACGTTGTCAGTCCTAGCCTCCTGGTTACTCCCTGGCAAGCAACGGCAAGAAGCATTTGTCTTACTTCTACCCAAAGTGCATATCCCATTGCCGCAAATCCCTCCGATGTCACAAGGATCTGACACCGCTGCCCACTCCGGGACCCATTGGCTCGACCCATTAACATCATTGTCCCATCTGTACAACCTTAAATTCCCATTCATCTCAAGAACCAATCGCCGCAATATGTTCTGGGACGGTCTGAGTGATCGATTGGTGGCAGAGGACAGCCCGTCATCATCATCACCGTCGTTCTTGTGCACGTACACAGCACCATTGGAGGAGGAGCCGTAGACGATCCCAAAGCTCCCCTTCTCGTCCAGAACCGCAATCACATCTCCGGTCACGTTTGAAATATCCGGCCCAGACCAATAAGAGAAATTGGAGTAGAACTCGGGCGCGTAGTCTAGGGTTTTGGGGATGTTGTAGGTCAACGCGAGGCTTAAAGAGGTGGGTTGTTGTAACATTTTAAGGGTGTAGTATCCACTGGAAGGAGACAGGGAAGATGAGGAGGATGAGATGAGCTCCATGGAGACGGTCAATGGCTGACCGGGTAGGAGGGTATCGGATGGATATGAGAAGCTCTGCCAAGGAACGGTTCGGTTGGAGGTGAGGAGGATGAGATTGCCTGTTTCTGACATGGATGCCGCTTCTACCCCTGCGTGGGAGGTGTTTGAAGTCCACACGGTGGTGCCGCGGTCGGTGAGGGTGAGGCTCCCGGCGGGGTCCAATTCCAAGACTGCATCTTTGCTCACTGGGGAGTTTCTATACATTGAGATATGATTGAGAAGAGGAGAAAAATGATGAATGTGGGGTTGGTTGAATTGGCCAAATAGGGCTTTTTTTGCCTGCAAAAACCTCTTGTAAAGACTAGTGATGGATGATGAAACCTTTGCCTCAGGCGCACTATTTCTCCCATCCATCTCTAATTTTTCTTTTCTAAATGTATGTTAAGTCCCAACATTTTAGTTTAAAGAAGGGTTGAAAAATAGTATTAAAAAAAATTGTGATTGATTTATGCAGATTAAACAAAAAAAAAATTAGTTTAGCGTTTTAAATGATTTTGTCCAATGTAAAGTGGGTGGCTAGAGGGTTACATACTTGTTAGGAGACCAGACCAATGTTGGATCTCCGGGGAGCATAGCGAACCAAATGGAGAGGTAAAACTGGCGGGTGGCGGAAGAGCTGCCGCTGGCGGGGGCCACCGCCGCTGGGGTGAAGCCGAAAGCAAAGGTTCCATTGTCAGAGACCCATGCGGCAGCGGCGGCTGCCGTCAATCGCGAGCCCAATCTAATCCCCCCATCTCTGCGATCGCCACTAACGCTGCTGCTGCTGCTCGTACAACGCTCCGCGGCGAAGAAGACTAGGGCGAGTGTGACGATGAACATGAATAAACCCCTATGGTAGGAACAAGCCATTATTGTTCGTATACGGGGAATGCGAGTTTATTTGAAGGAGATGGAAGAAGAAGAGAAAAATCAGGTTCCACTGCAAAGCTCTTTCTTATTTGGATTCTTATTAGCATGTTTATTACTGTGTGCTTAGTATTCTCAGTTGAGAAGAAGAAGAAGAAATATGGAGACTTCTTTTATGTTTTTTTTCTTGTTTCCATTTATTGGGGAGATGAGATGGCAACAGATGTAGTGCGGTGGGTGAGCTACAACGTTGAATGACGCCGCGGGTATTTCAGTGGTCGGCCGCGGGGGATTGCTCCACGTGTCTCGTTATTATGTCTGTGTTGCTTTTATTTTTCATAATAACCAAGCCCGTATTTGAACGCGGCTGGCTCGCCGGATTGCTGCGTGCCTAACTAAATTCTTACCTACTTAATTAATCATTGGGAGTATAGATAACAAATTAGGCTTGGTTTTCCCAAGTTAATGCTAGAGTCAAGAAGAGCACATAAATTATACTTCCTCTGTCCTATTTTAAATTGTCTATTTTCCTTTTTTCTCCGTTCCAAAATAAGTTGTATGTTTTTTGTTATCGTAAACTTTTAAAAGTAAAATGCATAAACTACCCCTAAAATAAGTCACTCTTCTTCATCTTATCTTCTCATTCATCGTCACCCCTCCTAAAACGTAATGACAATTTCGAAAAGTCAACTCTATTTTTTCTCTTCCTTAAATGTGTTCCAAAGTCAAAACGGACGATTTAAAACGGGACGGATGGAGTATAAACTTGTCATTTGTGTATTTAAATTTTGATTTCTTTCCCATCATTTACTTTTAAACTCTTTAAAACTTGCCGAGTTGACCTTGAATTTTAAAATCACATCAATACCTCCTAAATTTTTAAAAATGTTACGTCAATAGTCTCTTTATGCAAGATTTCGGAGTGCGTTAATTAAACATTAATCAGTATCCGTATACATGTTGAAATTTGATGAAGATGTCATGGGTTGGTGAAGAGTTCTATCTATTGATGATTAGCTTTATCGACTGATGTCCGGCCTTCAAATTTGGTTACCGACGACTAAATCGAGACTAGTTATCTAGGATTTAACTTGTTTTGCAATTCATTTATTTGTTAAGTGAAATGAGAATTTGAATCAATTTCATTTTGTAAGGTTTTTGTTAACTTATAGTGGGTCTATGTCAAAAACACATTTATTATACTATATATCATTTGAGTCTTTCGATAATTTTTGTTTATTTATGTGTTTTATTATTGATTATTTTGTAAAATAAAAGTCATCTCACCTCTTATTTTGTATTCCTTTCGTTCTAATTTATATCACATGTTTTGATTTATAATATTTGTCTGAAATTATATTCAATACAATTTATTTGGTAACTAGAGCGGAATTTAAAACTAAAACTTACATTTTAAAAAACTACTTGGTACATCAAAGCTCTATGGTGGAACAAGTGACATATAACTATATTATTTTATCAAATAAGTAATGAAAATAGAAAAAACTGTAAATAAAGTTTGACTCTGTAAATAATAAATAAGTAACTTTATTTGAAACGAGGGAGTAAAACTTTAGAAACAATGCTTAATTTTTTTTTTAAAACTAATTTTTAATTAAGTTGACTTTAAAAGAGAGAACTTTGTACATTTAAACGAAGAGTGTTTCTATGGTGTACCTTGAGTGCATACCATTTTTATATATCTTCTCACATAAAATTTCTTTTATTAAAAAAATATATATTTATTAAAATAGTAAAAAAATACTTATTTTAATTATATGTAAGTCCATGGTAGACTTAAGATCCAGAATTTGGCTAAAACGAAAGTCCCTCTCGAGATAGGATGAAAGGTATAAGTATTGCAGATTTGCAGAAGCAAAAAATTGCTGATGGGTACCCCTAGCCTAGTTTTGTGATAAAAACTGCTAGGTACTCCCAATTTTAAAAATACACTGTCAGGTACCTCAAATTATTAGAAAACTTACCAATGGGAGACCTCCGTCAATTGCTCCGTTAATTTCATCATCATCATATACATAATACATCATCATCATTTCTTATTCTTCTTCTTCTTCTTTTCCTACGATCCACACCCCCATCTCTCCCCCTTTCTTCTTCTTTTACTATTGTTGTTATTGTTCTTGTTGTTGTTGTTGTTAAAACTAAATATTTTTTACTACATCTAATTCTAAAAAACACTAGTGCCCACCAAATAAATTATATACCCCCCATAACCTTTTCCAATCTTCACTTGGCTAAAAAAGGACTGAAGTATTTTAAATTTTTAATAAAAAATTAATTTTGATGATTAATATATGTATAATTTATAAATTTAAAATTGTTTAGTCCGGTATTTAATTAGGTATATAATATATGTAGTACGTTATAATTTACAATAATAAGATGAAATTTAAAACTATTTCTATCATTAAACACCACAAAAGTTAAATTTCTGTCAATAAAATTTAACACTCTCTCTGTCATTAAAATGCATAGCATTAAATTTTATCTTATTATTGTGAATTATTGCGTACTATGTATATCCCAAAATGATTTTTATACTAATTTATTGATAAAATCATATTTAAAAAAATATGAGATTCTACACACTGTTAGAATAGTGCAAATAAATTTCGAATAATGTGTAAAATCTCATTTTTTTTAAAACCAAAGTAAACTATTTTAAATTTATAAATTATACGCGCTCCTTTCCAATTTTGATTTCAATCTTTTTTTTCTCTCACCTCTCGATAACTTTTGTTTACTTGTGTATTTTCTTTGATTATTTGATACAATAAAATATTCTTGTCACCTCTTATCTTGTAGAACTTTTGATATAGTTTTTTAATATGCAATTTTTATTTTTTATTGATGTAACAATTTGTAAATAAAATGATTTCAAAAGATACATTATCTTACCTCGTAAATTGTAATTTGTAATCAAATTTGGGACGTATAGAGTACATAAATTGATCACTAAAACTAATTTTTTATTAAACATTTAAAATACTTTAGTTTTTTTACCCAAGTAGAGATTGGTAAAGCTTAGTGGGGGTATATAATTTTTTTGGTAGGGCACTAGTATTTGTTTAGAATTAGGAGTAATAAACAATATTTTCTTCAAAAAAATAGTAAAACAATAATTAATTTTATTAATAATAATAATTATAAATAAGAAAAAAAGGGAGGGCTGGGGTCTGGATCAGAGGAGGGAAATCAAATGATGATGATGATGATGATGAATATGTGATGATGTGGATGATGATGATGATGAAGGTAAAACGGATGGCTCTTGCGGGTACATTTTTGAATAATTTGAGGTACCTGGCACTATATTTTTAAAATTAAGGGTATCCGGTAGTTTTTATCATAAAACTGGGGTACCCGCCATCAATTTTTTGTTTGCAGAAGTATTGAATCAATTCCATTTGGGTAAACGCTTTAGGCTATTGGTAGTGTGTCACGGATCCTCTCCAGTGATCCTAGTTGGCATGCCATGTGGCGTGATTCTTGTCCCCTCTCGGGAGCGAAAACGTGGCAGAAGGCGTGGCCGCAATCATATATTATTGGGCTATCGTTTTTGTTTTTTAACCCTTTTCGTTTCATTTATTTATTTTTTCTACTAAATTACCGGCCTCTTCCGTCCCACAAAATCTCTTTTATTTCTTTTTTTATCTGTCCTAAAAAACATTTCTCATTTCTATTAAAAAGTTACTTTTATCCATACTAATTCTTAATCAACATAGTTATCACATTTTTTCACTATCTACCCATCACTTCGACTTTAACCTATTACATTCAGGGGTATTTCTGCAAAGTCAATACCAAAATACACTTTTTTAAATTCCTTAAAAATTGATGGAGAGAGCATCTATTTATTCATATTTTTTTATACGTCAGTGATTACATGACAAATTATATATTGTTGGAAATCTTTTCAAAAGATCTATCCAATGATACCAATATTACATATAAAATTTTGACGTTATGACTCGCTTAAATTTTTGCCCAAATAGTAACTATATTTTATTATTTTTATTTTAATGAAATACATTTTAGTTATGTTTCTCTTATATTTTACTTTTAAACTAAACTAGTTTATGCTTTTGTTTTTCATTTTTTGTTAAAAAAAAGTAAAGGAAAGAAGTTTGTAATAAAAAAAACTTGTGTAGGCTACGAGCCGGGCAATACAGACATCAACATCACTGATGATGAATGAATCGTAAAACGTGTCCTAGTAGAGAAACTTACAATGACCTAAAAGTGGAAATTAGGGCGGTTTGTTTCAGCCTCTTAATTCTTCAGATGTCTGAATGGTTCAGCACTTAATGGTTCAGACTGTTTGTTTCAGCCTCTTAATGGTTCAGATGTCTGAATGGTTCAGACATTTGTCTCTGAATGGTTAAGTATTATACAGAGTCTGAATGGTTAAGACCTCTTATCTGAATTGATCAGACATTTGTCTCTAAATAGTTAAGCAATATACTAGCTCTTAATGGTTCAGACCTCTTACTGGTTCAGCACTTAATGGTTCAGACCTCTTACTGGTTCAGCACTTACCTATTCAAAAGTTGCCAAACAGCCCCTTAGTGTTACTTGTATCATTTTGATTATTGTTACTTGTACTTTGTATTTCTTTATTTTTTATAAAATAAGAAGAAGGGGAAAAAGAAAAAAAAGAAACTCAAAAAGAAAAAAATTAACTGGAAGTAAACCCAAAAGAAAAAATTGAACAAAAAAATGAGTAAACCCAAAATAGAAATATTTTTTTTTATATTTTTTAGAAGATAAAATTTCTAATTTAGTACAAATAGGTTAATATTAAATAAAAATAAATGTGCAATTGTTACCGTTGAAGTGAGGTATCACGGGTGTGAAATGAGTGCGATAGGGAGCGTAGTCAGCGCTGATGTGACGTTGAATGACTGCTTATTTAAAGTGGGCCAAATAGCGCTCATACCCCTCGTGGTTTGCAAAACAATCACCAAT